AGGAGGATATTTCATTTGGTAAATGGAGGGAACTCCAAATTTCAATTCATTATTGAAATTCCCAAGAAAACTAGATCTCAGGTATTCTTCATGGAACTCCGGTTTTCTATCAAAATGAGGTGCAAGATCTTGTACTTGTGTCTCAGGCTTTGGATTATTGCTACTCCTGGGTAATGCAAGAGCTGGCTGAGCATTGGCAGTAGATGGATGTGCATTGCCACCGTTTGAATTTATGTGATTACTGTTTCTCGCTGCGGGCACTTCATGGTTGTGTTTTCCCTCGTATGTTGTAATTACGAATTTCAGATTGTGGGAGGCCCTTTCCACATGCTTCCTTACTGAACAGCCCGCACTTGTACATTTGTAGTAGCTCCTATAAGATAGAGAATAAGTAGAAAGATTAATTGCATACATATTTATGATTGGAAGCACAAGCCCTATCCAGCCATCATGAGAACTGAACATACCCCAGTATATGCTCAAATGATTTTATGCAACCTAAATTGTGAAAATAAGGAATATGAGCTTTTAATCTTATTTGAAGAAATACACTAGACCAAGAAATGCTATCCTCTGTTTCTTTTTCTATTTTTTTTTCCTGAACTCTTCTATGGTCATAACTCAGTAGAAATCCACACAGTAGTCCAACCAATATGATGCGAGAGAGAGAGAGAGCATACCTAGGGTTTGGATTTCCTTTGACAACTTTTTGCCCATACTTCCGCCAACGATAGCCATCATCAAGTATGTCGACTTCACTCTCAATTTGGACAACTACTCTTGGTTCACGGACAGCCCTGGATGCTAAACTTGGTTCCATCAAGCAGCTCTCTTTCTTCCTGGAAGGGAAAATCAATGCAGGAAAATATATCCTGGTTAGTCATGATGGCCTGGAAATAGACACCTGTAAGATAAACGGAAAATGACATACCTTCTTTTTGACTCAGATTCTTCATCATCTGCATCATCTCCAAGTGATATGCTTCCTTGGGTGCCCCGATCATCATCATCATGACTAGCAAGTGTGGATGAAAACTCTGGAGTTTCTGCTGATTCAAAGATACTCATGGATTTCCCTTGGGTAGTTGATAATGGATCAGAAAGGTCGGTGACAACAGATGTTGAGGATGTCCTTTCCAGACCTTCAGCCCTCCCATCATAACCAGTTTTAATATCCTTACCAGACTGAATATTTGTCCAAACTAACCCACCTTCAACTTTGACGGAGGCCCTACTTCCTTCACTCATCTCTGACGTCTCATCAAATGAAAATGATGATCCAAGTGATGCTCCAGCTCGACGATTAGGCTGAGGCATTGCATGATTATGAGGAGCTCCCTTGTAGATGATTTCTGTTATTTGACCATCAAAGGATCGTTCCACCTTTTTCTTCACCTGACAATTTGGATGGGTGCATTTATAATAGCTCCTTGGATATTCACTGCCTTTGACCTGTTTCTGCCCATACTTCCTCCAATTATATCCATCTTCTGAAGTCCTGACCATTCCCGCAGATGGGTATGACCCTCTATGCTCTCCTTCCAAAAATGGGTGGCTCCCAACGTCCTCTCCATGAATCGGTTCTTTGGGAAGAGAGTTTTGTTCACTAGCTGCGCTTGAATTAGACCTTTGCAAGTCTACGCAGTTGGCATTCAGAATCCCACTATTTAAGTTTTTAACATGGGTGGATGGATCCACAGCATAGTTCTTTGCATTAGCTTCTTCCGGAAACTCCATTGGGAATTCAAAATCTATTGGTTGTTGCTCCAAAACCAGAGATTGGTAGTCAACAGTAGATCCCTGAGGAACAATGGAAAGAAATTAATCCAAACACAATCTCATATAAAAATCGTAAATAAATTACTGGTCAGAATTTAGCAGCTCATCCCTATGGCAACTTATCAAAATCTACACTGGAACCATTAACATTTTGGTTTAAACAAAGTACCTTCGGACATTCATGGTTTGAAGATATGCGGACTCATGTGTATCGAAGAACCATACAAAGTTGTTTCCAACAACTATGTATAAAATTACAGCTAGAGATTATGAGGAGATACTGTTTTAAGGTTTTTCGTGGTTACAATTGAAAATTTAAATATTATATTTAGATATAACATAATCACTAGGTTAGTAATTAAAATACCAATATCTTGTGTTGCCACATTTGGAAAAAGTAATTAGACCAAAAAAGAAGTTTAAAAACCTCTCTCCAGCTTAAGAGTTTTATACTACTGAGTTCCAAAACATTAAGTTGAGGCATCTAATCCCTAATTATTTTCGGACGAAAGAAACATGCCATGTAACCATTACCTGATTTTCGAAACTAGAATAGCCTGGCAGATATTTGGGATCGCCCTGTCTCTTGAATGTGAAGGATGAACCCAAATCACTCCCCCTGTGACCATCTTCATGAGTTCCAGATTTCAGCACTGAACTGTCATCATTGGGAGGAAGCAACGGAAAAGTTCCGGTGGTTGGAGATGGGAGCGCCTGGAAGAATATAAGAGTTGAAGATCACATATCAAACAGCATCAAGCAGGAATTACTAGACATCATTTAAGACTTTCCATAATTAACTTCACTCCCACACCAAAAAAATAAAATTTCTTTTGTCTACTTCGTAACTATCAACGTCCACAATGTTCGTTTGCCTTCTTGGTTATGGTGATTGTCCTTTAGTTCAGCTGCCAGTCCCTCAACAAACCTCAGTTTAAACCAAGAAATTACAAAACAGAGACTGTTATACAAAAAGTGGATCTGGAAGTGCATAATCACAAATTCAGATGTTTTACTTTTCTTTCTTAAAAAGAACATATTATGTTGAGAGAACACACTCAGAGAACTAGCGTACCCAACATGAGGAATGTCAGTTAATAATAATTAAAGAGTAGCAGCAAAGTACTAAATAGAAGTAAATTACAATTTTTTTTTTCGCTTGTACTTCTACCCTACTACCAATTGCATTAACCATTTCCAACAAGACTCATAAAATTCACATATTGAGGTTGAGAAACCCAAAAATACAAAATTATACGTTTCGTTGATCAGAAAATCACCAAACAAAGCCCAGATAGAATCTCACACATTTAGCTCGATTCAAACCCCAAAATTTACAACAGCAAAAGAATTGCAACAAAATTACCAAAAATAAGAAAACCCCGAACGAGAAGAAAAAGAAAGAAAAGAAAAAACCTGAGAATTGGGGAGCATCATGGGGGAGTCGAGCAAAGCCGTGGGGCTGATACCAGGTGGAATAGTGAGGCAGGGGGACCTGGCAGCCGCGGCCGGCGAAGGCAAAGGGCTTGTTGTCCTAAAACGCGCCGTATTGATCCTCTCCGCATTGAATCCACACTTGGCTGCCCTCCTCTCTGCTATACTAATGGTGTTAGCACCAGGTCCACAACCTTTGGTTTTGTTCTCCGAAACGGCGTCGTCTTCTTGGTCCATGGTTCTTAAAAATCCCATCTTTATGCTCTCTTCGTCTGTTGGTTTAATGATTCCCTGTTAGAGTGACAAGAAGGCTGTGACTGTCTGCCTCTCTCTAAGTGTAAGAATTGTAAAAACCCTAGCTTTGGTTTGGTTTCAGCTCCTCTTTGAGTAATTCTGGAGCTGAAACCTTTTTTGTTATTCTATTGAATGAAATGAAATGAATTGAATTGAATTTGAGGAAATGAAAAGGCTTTCAAGTTTCAATGTGTATTATGGTACAAACAATTATGTGTTTTCAGAGGTTCCCAAGAAGAAATGGTTTGGATTTTGAGAGAGAGAGAGAGAGAGTTGGGTTCAGTTGTTTTTGTTGCAGGAGAGGAGAGGAGAGGAGAGGAGAAGAAGAACAAAAAGAAGTGCCTCTGCCGGTTTGCCCGAAGAAAAGAGTGAGGGGAGATCAGTCACTCTCTTAACGAAGAACAATTTCGAGTGTGGGACCCGCGAAACAATCTGTATCCTTTCTGGCTGGCTGGCTGGCTGATGATGTGGACACCGAAAGAAAACCTCCTTCCTGCTTCTACTGCCTCTCCTCGTCTCCTCCTCCTCCTCCTCCTCCTCTTATATCTTGATTAAAATCGCATGGATGGATACCAACCAAGAACTTAAACAAACTCCAAATACGTGTTCATTTCATTTCAATGTCTTGCGTAAATCTAGATGAAGTTTGTTTCTTCTCAAATCAATTTTTCATTATTATTATTATTATTATTATTATTATTATTGGTTTCTAATTTCAACCCCTATTTGTGTTTAAAAAGTTGTTTAAAATTCTTCCTCAAAGTTATTTAAATTTCATGCGTCTTAGACAATAATTGCCAAGTATTTCATGTTCTCTATCCTCTTACCAAATATAGCTAATCCATTTTCCGTACTTGTTTCTTAATCCAATAATAATTAGTTTAATTCTATCTTCATAAGTTGCAAATTTATTTATTTAATTATGTGTAATATAGGTTGTGTTGGAGAGTCGGGGACTTAAGCGTGGGATTTGGTTTGCTAATGGCTAGCCGCAAATCTTGAGGTGGAGGTTAGCTTTGTATAATCCAAACAAAATGCGGTTAGAGGAGCCACGTGGCTACCATTCAACGTCTAAACCATATGACACGTGGCAAATAATGTTAGAGCTTATTATAAGGTAATACTTGTTGTTTGTAGTAACATTTCCTTGGACTTAGAGAGAGAACATTTTGTACATTCCCCTTAGACTTAGAGAGAGAACATGTACGAACATGTACAAAATACTTAGTCAATTCCCTATAATTGACTGCTCTGCTGTGCTGTAAATACCAGCGCCACATTAACTATTTGGTTTGGTTTGGTTTGAATTCAAATGTGCTAGACTGCTAGTCTAGTCAATGTATAGGCTTTACTTTACTGGATTCCTCATAATTAGGATGTTATTGATTACCAACGGCTCTCTAATAGCATTTACTTCCCAACTATCTATACAACAATTCCCTAAAACTTAATTCATGAATCTTCTATAATTCCAATCCAATGTAAAAAAGAAGAAAGAAACACATAAACAAGTATACCCCAAAATTTGCTCACTGCACCTACCTTTGATTCTTTGAACCTCTCCATCCTTAAACCATAATCTCATAAGCCATCCACTTTCCCCTTGCTTTCTTTCTAGGATCATTTCTAGCCATTAAAACAACTCTCACTGTTCACCAATAATCCCCACAAGAACATGCACCACCCTTGAAATGGTGGAATCTGTGAGCATCTCTCATTACAATTTCCCTTCCTGTAACCTTAGAGATCAACTTGGAAGCTGTATGGCAATCCCCACAAACTCTCAGATTCTTCTTTATTCTAATAACACTTTCTGGTCCTGATTTCAACAGTCCAAAAACTATCGCAAGCTTCTCACTATGCGCATACAACATTTTCTCCTTCATCTCTTCCTCCACATCATGCAATGCAAAGTTCAAATCCGGCTTGTACCCTTCTTGTCGAATCCTATTTATCACTTTCTCCAACTCTGAATAGATTAAATCAGTTTGAGTATGCGACTTATCTCCAGCCACAAATGTATAGACCTTGTTTTTTATCTCTATGCTGGTGTGACCAGCTACTTTCCTCACCCCTCTTTGTTTCATCAAATCTCTAATCTTATCAGCATCTTTCTGTTTTCCAGAAGATGCATAAATATTGGACATGAGAACATATCGACCGGGGTTCTCCCCATCCAACTCAAATAATTGTCTTGCAGCAATTTTAGCAAGTTCTATATTTGAATAAATTCTACATGCCCCAAGCAGTGATCCCCAAACACCAGCATCTGGCCTTACTGGCATTCTTTCAATGAACTCAAACGCTTCTTTCAGTCTACCAGATCGACCCAAAAGATCAACCATACATGCATAGTGTTCCGGTCTTGGTGTTACATGAAAATCCCTACTCATGGAATTAAAGCAGTCCCATCCTTCGGCAATCAACCCACCATGACTGCAGGCTGACAGCACTGATAGGAATGCAATGTGGTCTGGTTTTGTTAGAGCCTTCATCTGATTAAATAGGTTAACAGCTTCTCTTGCATGACCGTGCATCCCATATCCTGCAATCACGGTGCTCCATGAGATTATATTTCTTTCTCGCATCTCATCAAAAACCCTTCTAGCATATAGCAAGCTTCCACATTTTACATATAAATCAACTATAGAAGTTTCAAGCGCAATGTGGTTCTTGAAAAAGCAACGAATAGCATGTCCATGAATTAAGCGTGCTTGCTGAAACGATGCTAAATTTGAACAAGAGCGAATCACGCTCAGAAGTGCCACCAAATCAGGGAGAATCCCTTGCACTCTCATCTCTTTAAAGAGCTCCAAGGCTTCAAGAGGCAAATCAACTTGCACATAAGCTTCAATCATGGATGCCCAAGACACCAAGTCCTTATCACTGATTTTATCAAAGAAGCCCCGAGCAACATCAATTCTTCTGCACCGTGCGTACATTTGCATGGCAGCATTTTGAACTGAACGGTCCAAATCAAGTCCATTAGCTGCCACAACTCCACAAACCTCATCAGCCTGATTCTCTCTAGAAACACACGCCATCACATTCAAAATGGCAGCCCTGTTGGGTCTAATACTCTCATTCAACATCATTGCAAACAAAAACCACCCATGATTGAAACACCCACTTTGCGAGTACGCACCAATCATCGAACTCCAAGAAACCACATTCCTGTCGGGCATTTTATCGAACACCTTTCTTGCAGTCTCAACCTGCCCAAATTTTCCATACAAGCCAATAAGTGAATTACCCACAAACAAATCCGATGCACAACCACATTGAATCACATCCCCGTGAAGCTTTACACCCAATCTATCATCACAAACGTACCCACAAGCCTTAAGCACAAAAGGGAATGTAAAGTGATCGGGTTGAGTACCCAATTCCCACATCTTACTGTACAGAGCAATGGCTTTGTGATATAGGCCATTGTCAACAAAGCCTCTAATCATCACATTCCAAAGAAAAACGTCAGAGGAGGATGAGGAAGAAGAGAAGGCAGAGAAGAGGGTATAGGCATGAGAGGTTGAGCCCAAAGAGGCATAGTGGGCAACGAGGTTGGTGCAGAGGAAGAGATTGAGGTGAAGATGGGTTCTGAGGATAGAGGCATGGACAGTTTTAAGGGTCAAAAGGGTGTGGCTTTGCTTTATCAGTGATATGCATGTCATGTGCTTGGTTTTTCTAATTCTAAGGGGTTTGTGAAATACGATCAATTAGGAGGATTGGCTTGTTGGGGTTTTTGCTTCTGCATCAGACAGACTAGTGCAAGTTTCTTTTGACCTTCTCTCCTTTTCTTTTGGTATCTATCCTCTGTTCGGCTTGGTGATGAGTCAGAAGACCGTATATTGATATTCAAACCCCAGCCCAATTTTGGGGTTCAATCAATCAATGGGCCAAACATGTTTCAGAGTCCAAATATCAACAACGAACAGAAAAAGCTCAAAGCTTTTTATTTATTTATTTTTCTTTTCTTTAAAGCAAAACAAAAACAAGAAGAAGAAATATGATTTGATGATATGATGATATGCAGCTGGACAAACAACAGAACAGATGTCAACTTGTCAAATAGCAGCGCTACCACGTCTCATATTTTCCTTTCATGCAACATTACACTGTACAGGTGGAGCTCCCTCTTGCTATGCTGTGTTAACCAGCTAGCTACAACACTCAATTAACATATGCAAACACCTCTCTCTCTCTCTCTCTCTCTCTCTCTCTCTCTGAGTTAGAGTCTCAAGAGATATGGAACCTGCTCAGCCCACATCAACCTTCAGCAACCCACCACCACCAGAAACACCAGTATTGAAGAATGATGAAGCAGAATACGGCCAATATGACTGTGATGAGTATCTGATACCAAAACCATCAGAGTGGTTCCCAAAGCTTGTATCTTTTCAAGCAGATTTAATTTACAACTGCATGGCCACTCTGTCTGCCCCCATTTTCTCCCTCTTGTCTGTGGCCTCTGAGTCTTACCACCAAGTCGAGCAGACCAAAGACACCGTTGAATCCGCCGTCCACCAGGTTCCCTCTACCCTCACACATGGCAGCACCATCCTCCTCAAGAAGCTTGGTTTTGGGTTGCTTGGGGCTGCTTATGTCTGTATGGTTTTGGTCATGGTTTTGATTTTATCTTTTCTTTTGGGTGTTGGGTTGGTCAATCTTTGGGTGGAGGAGCCTGTGTTTGTGAGAGACAGGTTGCACTTTGATTACACTGACCCTCATCCAACGGCTGTCTTTGCTTTTGGTGGGGTTCCTGTTGGACACACTTTTTATGTCTCTTTGGTCCTATTGATGCCTGAATCTGATTTCAATAGGGACATTGGGGTCTTTCAGGTATGTATAATTTATACATATAAATTTGGTTGAAATTAAGGTTTGTTACTAAATAACAATTTAATTGGTTAATTATATATTGATCATCAGATGAGTGCAGAACTATTATCAGTGAATGGCGATTTGATTGCAAAGTCAAGCCAGCCCTGCATGTTACGATTTAGGAGCCTCCCGGTTAGACTCACACGAACATTTCTTATGGGCGTACCGTTGCTACTAGGAATCTCTGGAGAAACCCAGAAGTTAACCATGCAAATACTCGAGCATAAGGAAGGGCATTTTCCAAGAACCCAAGCCATAAGAGTAACTTTATTACCAAGAGCTGGAACCTCGTATCTTCCCCAGTTGTACGAGGCTGAAATTTTATTGAATTCCCAGCTGCCTTGGACGAAACATTTGGTGCGCAGTTGGAAGTTGACTTTTTACGTCTGGACCTCTCTATATACCTATGTTTTGTTCCTCATAATTCTCATACTTTTCTGCAAGCCACTCTTGCTGCCAATGACAATGATCACAGCTACTGCCGCAGCAAATGTCAGTGACCAAAGTTACACCGAGACACAATCACAAGCCACATCTCGACCACGACGACGCCATAGTAGGGAATCACAAGCCTCATCTAGAGACGTTGAAAGTGAGGATGTTCAAGAGTTGTTGAGGAAATGGCAACGCAGCAGAAGCAAAAGAAAGGCAATGTATTTGCAACCTGGGGATTTGGATTTGGGAGCTGCAGAAACAATTGGCTCATCTGCAGCCTCAACAATTAGTATTACCAGAGAAGATGCAAGTGTAGCTACTGAAGATGTTGGGGACTTGGAATCAGTGTGTTTATAAGGCTTTAGAGAACTGGACCTTAAGTTGAATCTTGAATGCTTTTGTATAAAGACAGCTTTGCTTTGCTGGATGGCAGGGCATGCAGATTATGAATGTACTTGTTACCTTCAGTTAATTTATATGACTAAAGTTACTGGAAAGAATCTGCACAAGATTAACTCTAACTAAATTTTCACAATTGGGTCTTGTCCTGTTTTTCTAAACAAGAACATTCAGGGACCCTGCATACATATGATCAAAACATATGTAGTAATGAAGCAACTAATATTAGTACTATGTGAAGGCTGTGAATGAAACCATAGATGGCAATTAAGCTGATTGGGAATGTGAAGGAGAAGGGGGAACCAAAAGCATAGTTAACAGTTTAATACCATGGAATGTGGATTAATACAATCGAAAGTTGGAAAATGAACTCGGCAGGGTAAACAAGGTACAACATCGGAGCAACTAAACAAAGACAATACATTTTTATGCTGCAAAGACTTGTCTTCCAAAGGATAAAATCTTCCTGTAACCATGGTACAACAACAGCTCTCTTACAATAAATCACATGATGAGTAGGTGAGAGGTTGGATGCAAGAGGCTCCTTGTATACCACGGTTTTCCTTGCTAAAGCCATCTCTTATACAGATAACTCGGTACGAGAAATCAGAATTCCATCGGTGTCAGCATAAAGCCATTCCCCATCGCAGATCCTTGTCCCAGCGATGGTAATTGGTACCTGTTTCTCTCCAATCCCTTTCTTATTGGCTTTCATGGGATGGGACGCTAAAGCTCTCACACCAATGTCACAACCATTAATCTCATCAACATCTCTTATACAGCCATTCACCACTATACCTGCCCATCCATTATTCTGAGCTTGAACTACAGGGTTGCCCCCCAATATTGCACACCGCTTGCTTCCACCCCCATCCACAACAAGCACTCTGCCATTGCCTTTCTCCTCGAGAAACCCACGAACCAGAACGTTGTCTTCAAATACCTTTAAGGTCACTATTTGTCCAGAGAAGACCTGTCGCCTGCCATATATCTGAAATATTGGCTCAAGCACCCGTAGATCACCACTTCCAATTAGCTGCGAGTGTGCGTCGCAAACTTCAGCAGTTGTTACCAAGGCCATTTGTTCCAAGAACCTGCAGGGTAGGACATAGATCAATGAATTATGCCAAAGACCAAAGCACATGGAGGATGGTCATAGTATCTTAGTATTGCTATTTGCTTTTTCGTTAAATGTTACTAACTGGCATATATCAGTACAGTGGGGAATATAAGGGCAGAGGTTGAGTGAAAACTGCACAGAGATTCTTTGTGGATACATAAGTTTTCAAGACATAAATTACAAAGACACAATATAAACACGTAATTCACTAGAAGTAAAAAGAAAAACTTCAAGATGGTAGAAGAGAATACCATGCAAAACGCCGTCCAAAACCAAAAAGGGCAAAAAAAAAAAAAAAAAAAAGAGATGAGAATCCCCCAAACAATTGTGTATAGAAGAAGTATGCTTTATATGAGACGCTAAGTGGTCACAAGACAAAGCTTGCTATATTAGTCCTGTGCACACCATCATCAATAGAAGTAAAAGCAGTAAAATCAGCGCCTGAAATGGAATAATTAAAATTAAAATAAAGAAATGGATATTTGAGATACAAAGCAGAATACCCTTAAAGATAAGAAAAGACGAAAGCTCAAGATGGTTTGAGCATTTGCAACGAACACCAATGAACAGCCAGCCAGAGCAAGAAGGAGCAAAATGTATATGACAAATAGAGGAGAATGGCGAAGATCGCTGTGGCAGAAGACCCAATTGATAAAACAGGACCCCTGTGATGAGACTTAACACGTACCAACGATTTCAAACATTCAATCAGATTTAGGATGGATGGATGCATGATACTCTTTAAATAAATAAAGCTGATATCTGTCTCCCCTAGCTGAGGCATAGTTTTTGAAATCCTAACCAGCAGCATTTTGCACCAAGTTGCCATTTTCAATAACAGAACCCTCTCATAAACAAATACACATACATATGGTTCCTAAATTTGCAAATTCAGCCAAATTACAGAAATTCAACTGGACTAGATATGATAAATCCAAATTTCCTGATACAAGTTAAGAGGAATAAACACGCTGATTACGAGTACAAACCAAATATGATTCATTCCTAAGTTAACACGAAACACACATACTGAGATGCAAGATTGGATCTTTATGGTTGCGAGCCAATGCCAAGTATATTATCATTTATTAATCAGACCAAGTTGTGTTAATCTCATCAAGTCTTTCATTCAAATCCAAATAATATACCCGATGATCTAAAGCAATAAAGAAAGGAAACTAAATAAATTGAATTCCCATATTGGGTCTCTCTGTAGGCCTGAAAATGTTATAAATTGGACCGGAAACTGTTGAATTTGAAATTTCCATACCAATTTTGCGAGCAATCAGACAAGCAGATCAAAGAAATCAGGAAAAGGAGGAGATGAAATCTAAGGACATCAAGTTTACCTTGGATGGGGCACTAGGAAACCACAGAAAGCACGGTGAGAGATAGAGAGAGAGAGAGAGAGGGTCGTTGGCTGAGTTGTGACTTATGACTCAGTGTGTCTCTCGCTATAAACATGGGATTGAAGAAGAGAATCTGTGTTAAGCTGTAAAGCGCGTGCAAAATGAAGTTTTTTTCATCTGTTGCTGTTGCTTTTTTCTTGTTTGTTTTTGTTATTTATTCTTACACAGTTTACTTTTCCTTTTGTTTTGTTACATTAAACGAAAAAAGAAACCTATTTTGAGATGTTTTTCCCCCTTTCTCTTTCTCTTTCTCTGTGTGGTTTTTTTCTGTGCCACGTAGAGAGTGAGAGAGAGAGAGAGAGAGAATGAGAGAGAGAAAGAGTGGCATGATGTGAACATGGGATTGCCACGATCAATGTTCACGCGTCAGCGATTGATCATATAATGTCGTGAAGAAGGCAAAAAAATAAAAACGTTTGGGGGTGCACAAGAGGTGAGGACAACCAGTAACCGCGAGACACCTGGATTATTAACACAACCACAGAGGTGCCAGCAGTACCACCTTCAAACCTCTCGAGGGGCAATTTTGTCAACACGGGAAATTGTACACACGGGCGTCGGCGTTTCTTTGTTTAACCGCACGGGGGAAACGCCGGGTAAAGACCCCCAATCTTTCACCCGATGGACCGGGGCTTGGTTTAGGGTTCAAGGTTCGCGTGCATTTCCCGGCCCCACACCCCCAAGTTAACACGTATAGCCCTCGTCATCGAATATAAACCGCACCATACTTCTTTGCAGCAGCCGATGTGGGACATTATATAGCTGCAGGCATCTTAGAAGTCTTAATACTACGTTATCCTGTAGAAAGGAAAACATAACATATCTGATGTTGGCTTTTACTTTTCTGAAATGCTCTTGTGATTTGGTACGAGTTCTTTTTTCTCTTCTTCAGCTTAACCTTATGTTTGTTGCCGTTTAAAGATTGATGTCCAATCTGCCTTCAAAAGACCAAGTAAAACTTCCCCCTAGTGTAATAATTTGGAGCAATTGCCCCTTCTAGAAAATGTCTTGAATTCGAGTCCTAGCATCTGTGTGGTGTGTGTATGTTTAATATACTATCGTCCCTTTCAAAAAGAAAAAATTTGTTACTTTGTTCTAGTTGTCTAAAATAGTCCTTGAAACTAATTCTTTATGGTGAGGTAGCATTGGATTGGATTTAAGAACAGTTCTTGCTCTGTTTGGACCAAACATACATACATGCAAAAGAAATTCCAGGCCTTGTTTTATGATGAAAGAGGCGAAAAGTGTCTCATTGATTTATCATCACTTCCACATTACAAAACCACAGAATATCATATAAGAACTTGTTTCGGGGAAGACAACAGAATCAAACAACAACAAAATGGCTACTTGTAATTGGAACGCCTTATGAGTCCAAATTTATTGGGATTTTTTTAATAAAAACAAAACAACTAACAACAAACAAAGTTTCCCCATCCCCACAGACAGAATTTAAGTCAACCTGTGGATGGTTTTCATGTCAGCAGCTTCCTTGATGGTGCCTTTCTCAACATTGTCCCACCACTTGAACAAGAAGTTGTCCACGACGAGTCTGAACCAAGGGGACAGCTTCAGACCTTCCTCCCCAGCATCTGCCTTCCTCAGCAGCTCCTTCAGCTGCTCCTGATTTACGTATTTGATATCAGCTACTTCGTCAGGGTTTGGATGCACATTAACATCTCGGACCGTGAAGAGAAGGTAATCAACTGCAAACAAGAAAATAAGAAAACACTAAGGTTGAACATGACAGTTTTGAAACAAGGCACCTCATCTAGAGTGTTAAACAAAAACAAGGTACAGTCAACCAAAGTTGGAATATTACGTTCGTGTTCTCCCCACTTGCCGTCAGAAGGTGCCTTGTACAAAATCCGACCCAAAGGGATGAACTGATCAACCGGCACATCTTCAGCAGGGATACCCAATTCATCCAAAAGCTTCCTTTGAGCAGCATTTCTTACCCCTGGAACCAAAATGGAGAGAAAAAAAAAAGTTAAGAGAAAATCACAGTAGAACAAGTAAAGTTGACTCTCAACTGTAATAGAGGTACGTAGATAAATATACCAAGAGAATCCTCATCAATAAGCTCAGATTCACGGTACAGTGGATGGCTACAACAGGTGTTTGTCCACACAAGTGGGAATGTCACCTTTGTTGCAGAACGTTGCTGCAGAAAATGACAGACAAAAATGAGTATGTCACCCACCATATTTACAAATGCTTATAAACAAAAACTGCCCAGAAAAATGAAATCAGTGATCAATGCCACCACCAGTTGTAAAACAGAGTCGTTTACCCTTCATATTGAATTATTAGCTTTCAAGATGCGGCACCCGACTAGTATGGAACATCTAACAAATGACCACTCTCAACTGAAGGCTGCCACAACTGTAAATTTTAGGTCTAACCCCAACCCCTTTGTCTCAAATTTCAAACATTAATTCACACAACTAGTTAAACTTCAGGTCCCCAGAGGTCTCAAAGTTCAAATGTGAAAACACACAACTAGGTATAATCTCCATCCGTGCTAAACAGATTTCTGATAGGTGTGACAAGATTTTTTTGTTTTTTTTTTGTTTTTGTGTATGTGTGTGTGTGTGTGTGTTGGTGGGGAAGCTACAAATTATAATCTCTGAACAGCCATGATAGGTTCACAAGATCTAATCAAGATATTAAAAGCCTGTTTGCTAGCAGTTAGCATGATCCAAGCAACATACCTGAAGAAGCAACTCATTCTTTGAGTTAAACAAAAAGACGCTGAAAGCTCTGTGAAGTAAATTTTCAGATTCAATCTTTTCCATCAAGTGACCTGCGGTTCAAGGAAGCATTGCAAATTAAGAAACCAACAAACAGTGCTACAAGAAAGAACACAACAGTTGTATCAACACCAGAGATTCAGGCATTATTGTAAACTAGAATGTGGATAAAATCCAATCTAGCATTCTTATCCAAAAATCTGATCCAGCACAAAATTCCCTTTCCCGTTTCCCATCCTAAGCGTCAACGAAATCTAATCTTTAACTACAGGTTTTCTTTAGGCAGTGAAATAAAATAGGAAAGAATATTACTTACAGTTGTATTTGGTATCATGACCAACAACACGATCATTCTCATCCACCAGAATACATCTGCAGAAATTTTGAGTAAAATAGATTGTCAGCTCCAGGAAATGACTAACACTTGAATAGGCTGAATTCCAAAGGATAAAATCGGAAAGGACAGGCAGCACTCATTGGACATATAGCATTGACGTTCTTAGAAGGAGTTTGGTGGCAGAGCTACCTTATGTTCAGAGTGGGGAGTTGCCCTTTTTTTTTTTTCTTTCTAAAAATAACTTTTGTATAAATAAAGAGTGGAGCATTTTTCATCCACCATTTCAACAAAATGACCAAGACCTGAAAATCAAGTCGCCCAGACTAGGAAAATAAAATGATAAAACGGATATCGTATTTCTACCTTCAAAGCAACGATGGTGCAATTAAAGGAAACAAAAAATTGATAAAGACCACTCATGCACAGTACATTATGCCATGAACATTGTTTCCAAAGAAAAGTGCAAACCGCATCTTGTATAGCCAAAGAAAAGGAAGTGAAAATTTAAGTTTGCATAATGTATTTTGCTTATTTGATTGATTGTACAGTATAATGTGACTTATTAGTTAACTTATCAAGCCTTGAATGAATCATTATCTAAAATTAGTGCTCATAAATGGCTTAGTATGTTTAGCCAAATAGGTATGAGCTGAAGTCGCAGGTAATAGGTAATTGAAGGAGAAGTTCTTTTGATAACTCCAATGGCCACGTGCAAAACCAGCTCGCTTGATTCTTATTCAAGCCAGGATTTGAGATGAGATGAGCTCGATGTTAGGTATCTTTGGCTCATGAGCTTGAGCTAGACACCCATCTGTTTTTTTATTATATAATTGTGTTCTTCCCATTGGCTATGTTTGGTTACTTAGAATCTGGAGGAATTGGAAAATGGAAAAGAAAAAAGACCTCAAAATCATGTGTTGTGGTGATTAATTATTCTTTCTTCTTTGTTCCAGATGAACCAAAAGCAATAGAAAGAAAAGAAACATATATGATTTCATTTGGTTTAGTGTTCCAGCACTTTATCAGCAGCAAAAACAGAGCACAAGACAAAACAGGCAGGAAACAGATCAACCAAACCAACCAGAAAAAGGAATAAGTAAAAGTAAAAAGTCAAGAGAAAAGCGTGAATAGGAGTAAAAGGCAGGGGCAAAGTGGGGACTCACTCGTCTTCGAACATGAGGCGGCGCTGGACGGCGTCCATGCCGGCATCAGGAGCGTCGGCCATGGTGGAGGCGTTAAAAGACAGAGATAGCCTGGCAGGGAGAGAAGCGAAGGAGGCGGGGTTGGAGATGAGAGAGGTTGGTGAGAACCGGAGAGAAGGAGAATTTGAAAAGAGAAGAGGATAATGATGGTGAGATTTGGGGAAGAAGGAGAGTCTGGCTGCGGTGTTAAGAAGGCGTGCTCCTGTGGTGAGAGTCATTAGGATACCGAATAATAATAATATATAGCAATCTCCGCCAGACTTTTTATCAATTTTATTTTGCTATTTCCCTCCCTCCCCCTCCACCGTCCAAGAGTCAAATGCTCAAATCCAATGGTATAATTGATTACTTATTAATGAACTACCCATTTTGTTGTTGTTATCGTCCTCGTCGTTGAATTGGCCACCTTTATTAAGTAATAGTTGTAAAAGTTAAACCATTTTTAAATATTTGGAAAAATTTTAAAAAAAAACTGATGCACTTGGAAGATAATATACATGCATATGGCAGCCCACTTGGAAGATAATATACTGTTGTGATAAATTCATGGTATTTGGATGATTGTGGCACATATGGTAATTGGATTTCCTACTATTTTGTTATTTTCTTTTTCTGTTTTGGGTTGGGTGGAAAGAGCTATCTTTGTGTGATCTTGGTTTATTTTATGATTTAAGACTAGTTTATCAGTTTTGGTAGAAAATTTCAAGGGAAATATTTTATGCTCCTTTCTTATAATTTTGGAAATTTATATCATAATTATTAAGAAAATAATACTCAGATGTAGCATTAAAGATTTATTATCACTCCCCCGTCACCAACGACCTCCACCACTCCA